CAGACCTTCCTTGGGATGACTGGTTGGTGTTGTTTATGGAGTGATAACTATGGATTGATGGTAAGACCATTGTATGAAATGTTAAAAGTTTCTACTAATTCCTGTTTAGAATGGACTGAGGATGGAAGGAAGTCCTTCAAGGAATTGAAACAATCACTGTTGAAGGCACCAGCACTGGCACTGCCAAATATGGAAAAGCCTTCTGAACTATTTGTTCATGAAAAAAAGGGAATAGCTCTGGATGTATTGGCACAATTTCTTGGGCCCTTATGCCACGAAGTTGCATATTTTTCCAAACAATTGGACACTGCAAGACAAAGATGGCCAGGATGCCTGAGGGCAGTGGCAGCAACAGTGATGTTGATTCAAGTTCACCCTGGGGCAACAAATGACAGTATCTGTACCTCATATGTTAATTACTATTTTGGAACAAAAGGGAAATCATTGGCTCTCTCCAAACCAAATGCTCAAATACCAGTCTGTCTTGCTAGATCAAGATGATACTCAATTAAAACGACAGCCGTACTAAATCCTGCAACTTTTCTGTCTGCTGAGCAAAGTGAAAAAGGAGACTTAGAGCATGATTGCTTACGAACAATTGTGGAAGTTTATGCTAGAAGAATTGATTTAAAAGATACACCTTTACCAGACCCTGATTTAGAATTAAATACAGACAGAAGCAGCTTTGTTACGAATGGACAACGTGTGTCTGGATATGTGGTAACCACTGTGATTATATTGTGGGTGCCAAGCCGTTGCCATCAGATGTATCTGCTCAAAAGGCAAAATTGCTTGCATTGATTAGAATGCTGGAATTGAGCAAAAAGAAAAAAGTAAACATTCTTACCGATTCAAAATACATGTTTTGAGTGGTTCATGCCCATGGGGCTATATGGAAAGAATGAGGATTTTAACCTCGGAGGGAACTACAATAAAACACAAGGGAGAAGTTCTAAAACTTCTTGAAAACATACAATTACCTACTGAAGTTGCTGTGATGTATTGTAAGGCCCTTCAAGCAGCAGACAGTGAACAACAGTGTGGAAATAGGTTGCCTGATGAGGCCACAAAATGGGCTGCACAAAAAGGCATCCAAATAGAAATTTAAAATTAATTGAAAAATTAGGGGCAGGAAAAAAAAAGAGAGAGAGAGAGAGAACGGATGGGCTGTGTGGCACCTTCAGGCCTAGCAGTGATCTCGTACACTCTGCTAAATGAAATAAGAAAATAACATATTTCTGTTAATTGTGGAACTGAAAATCTTTTGAAGCATCTGCAAAAAATTATAATTGGCCGAAATATGTTAAAGAGTATAAGATCAATTACCGAGAGGTGTGAACTACGCTGCAAGAATTATCCAAAAAACTCAGAATAAGATACATTTTGGGAAGATAATGGAAGGGAAAGCTCCAGGTGAGTATTGGCAAATTGATTTTACTGAGTTACCCTGATAAAACAAAATTGAAATATTTATTAGTATTAGTAGATACATACACTGGACTTCAAATGGCTGAAATGCTTGTGTTAAATTATAGGAATAGCTGTAATGATTGTAGTAATGATATATGAAATGTTAAGAAATTTAGCACATAACTAGTAAGATGGTTAGTAGTAGTAGGCCTAAGAGTTGTCTGTTTAAACTAAGGACCTCAAAGTGCCCGCACCTTCTGAGCTGTGGGAACAAAGAAAGAAACTCGCATAAACATAAATAGAGGCCCCAAGGACAGAAGATGTAGAACTATGGCAACAGAAGATAATGTGCATTTTATGACCCAAAGAAGTAGGCCCAGACCCTGGCAACAGAAGATAATGGACATTTATGACCCAAAAGAATGAGTCCGGACCCAAGGATGCTCATCACACTTCAGATAAGGTGGGCGACAAAGGGTTTAGTCAGAGGGGTCCGGCTTTTAGGGGCTGGCGATGTCGAAATTGGGGAAGAGGTGACAAGGAAGACTACTGGCCTTCCTCCTGAAGACCCTCGAAGACCACCACCAGGAGGCAATGCGCAGGTGTAAGAGTGACATAACTGATTCAAAACTGCTGATAAAATTTTTTGGACTAACCACACCTTAATAGTAAATATGTATGTTTGTGTTGTGCAATCCTATGAATACGTATAAGCTACCTGCATTTAAGTGGTAAATCTAAGGGGCTTGGTGTGCATGCTTGTGGAGGAGTGACCCCCTGTGCACCCAGCGCTGCAATAAAGACTGCCTGCTTTCTAAAGCTCCGATTCTGAGTCTTAGAGAGTTTCTCTTCAACCTGCTTTTCGGTATCAATAACTGGTTTGACAATTCAATGTTGTAATTGCTACTCACAATGAATTTAACAGGGTCAAAAACTGTAAGCATTGTACTTTCAAGCTTTGATTGTGCTATAGAATAAATTTCTGTATTCATTTGTAAATGTATGAAAATTTAGCTTAGATATTATTACTATTATTAGGAGCTGCATCATATAAATTCTGCAACTGTAAAAGAAAATGAAGGAATGATATACGGGTATTTTGGAAAATGGACAATAATTGTAACATAGAATAAAATGACTAACAAGGTTAAAAGCCAGGAGACTGTATGTTTAACTAAAAACTTACTGAGCTTTGAAAACAGAGGCCCAAGGACAGGAGGAAGGAAAACCATGGCAACGAAATAACTAAGCCGAGGCCTAAGGATGTGCGACATTCCTTACATAAGGGGGCTAACAAGCAGGACAACAAGAAGAAACTGGTTTTATGGTCTGGCAATGTTGTAATTGGGGAAAGATGAAAAGCTGACAGCGAGGAAGACTGCCAGCCTTCCCCCAGAAGACCCCCGAAGACGACCATCAGGACGCAATACGCAGGTGCAAAGATGACATAAACATTCCAGAACTGCTGACACAAGCCTTTTGAACTAAACCCCACCTTAGTTATGTATATGTATGTTGTATTCTGTAACCCTATGAATATGTATAAGGTACCTGCATTTAAGATGTAACCTAAGAAGCCTGGGTGTGCACAATAGGTGGAGCGACGCCCCACGCACCCAGCACTGCAATAAAGAATGCCTGCTTTCTAAAACTTTAAACGAAGTCTTAGAGAGTGTATTTCAAACGGATTTTTTGGTATCGCAGGGAGACCTTAGAGTGGCCACCCAGTAAATAAAAAGGCTACAGGAAAGGTGGGGAGGCACTCTTTATCAGGGGTGTAGGGATAGGATGAGGGGTAACAGTTTTAAACTGAAAGAGGGCAGAGTTAGATTAGATACAAGGAAGAATTTCTTCCCTGTGAGGGTGGAGAGCCACTGGCACAGGTTGCCCAGAGCAGCTGTGGCTGCCCCCTCCCTGGAAGGGTTCAGGGACAGGTTGGACGGGGCTTTGGGCAACCTGGGCTGGTGGAAGGTGTCCCTGCCCAGGGCAGGGGGTGGGACTGGATGGGCTTTAACGTCCCTTCCAACTCAAACCGTTCTATGACTGTGATTCGTGGCAGCATCAGTCATTAACAGAAGTTCCTATGAACAGCCTCCTCCTAATTCTTGCCCCGGTGCCTGGCTGATTGCTCATGCCCCACAGTGCCAAAAACATCTTAAGAGGGTTTACACGGAAAAACAGGATTAGCAAAACTTCTTCCTGCTACCTCTCCTCTTCCTTGGAGGGTTATTTTTAATCCATGTCAGTTCACTCACTATGACTATGACTCACAGGATCACATCATTTACAGCTGCACCTGCACACAAAAGGAAGTGGTGACTGCACAGGGAAATACTCACTGAGCTGCAGCTGAGCTAATGCTTCCCCCCCAGCCCTGGAGTTGAGCTAATTAGACACAGTTGTTTTCTGTGGAGGAATATGCAACATGTTATACCGATAGGAAAGTGGGCTATTTTTGTAATTACCACTGCAACATCACACTTCTTGTTTTTTCGATGTTTCACTGGTTTTAGAGACAGATTTACTTACAATCTAATACTTTATAATACCTTCACAAAACAGATTTCAAAGTAGTCAAATGTCTTTCCTAGGTGTCCTAACTGGCCAAAACTTTAGCTGCGACTGAAGAAAAAAACAACATGACAAGAACTGTCAGAAAACCTCAGACATAGTATCTCAGCAATGAGGTGACAACAGAGAGCATGACAGAATAGCACCAAGCAGTCTGTCACAGAATCCCACCCAGTGAAAGGTACGCACTGCACCAGAGCATATTAGCTCAGGACTTCACACTGGCACAACAATTTAATGGAACTGCACTGGAATATTCTCATGTGAGGAAGACTGGACTTGTGATGAAGGGCTGGATTTGACTTCACAATCCCCAGGTTCAATGGCAAGCATCAAAGTCTACTTTGCACTTCATGTGCAATATTTTTCATTTTCCAGATGCAACAGTGGAATGCTACTTTTGCTCTCCACACCAGATTTCACAGATGACTAGAGACATCTCATCCACCACACATATGTAAAACATCAAGCACAACCAAATCCTCAGCTTCACTGAAGTCCCTCTAAGCACCAGTTAAGAATTTATCAAGAACCTCCAGTCATGGTTAGCTGGGTGCTATAACAACTACGTTGGGTGTTAGGAGAGGCAGAGTACAACAGCTTAAGACTTCATGCTATCCTAGTAACAGCTCCAAGGCTTTTGGCTGATTTGAAGAGTAAGAACAGTGAGCTTGAGCCTGCCTAAAAGTGTCAGTGAAAGCGTAACTGTAAACCAGACATAGATTATAATCTCTGACATGGGCTTGTAGAAGTTTCCAAACTGCAGAACACAGACCAAACAAAAAGTTCATTACCACCCAGGGCCATGACTGACCTCACATTAGGAAAACACCTACTAAACACTGCACATGCTGATCCGCTGCTAGAAGTACTGCATTACTGCTAAGTCATGCAAAAGGTCTATAAGAAAGCTTAAGTTTTGAGAGGGGAAAATAAAAAAATTGGGGGTTTGGATCCTGAAACCAAAGCAAATGTTTTGTAGCATTCTTCACATCACAGCATCTTCCCACTTTACTCACACAAAGATGTCGTCTTTTGGCATGATATGATTTAAACCTTCATCCATTTGGAAGATTTTGTGAAATCGATGATTATACACGTCTGTCACCACCATCTAGAACAGCAAGTGATATTTGCAAAAAGATTATAATAAAAGCTTACATAAATTTAGGCAAACTAACTTTAAATTCAAGAAACAGTTTATTCCTATTCTTTACCACAATTATCAGCACACCAACATCATCGCTGTTTTCTATAACAGCACAGCAGCTAATCGGCTGTTATTTGTTAAGATGGATCAGAAAGACAATGCAAATAACAGACTGATTTTACAGAGGTACTGAGGAGATGCAATTCCAACAGCTGCATGTCAGCCTGGTGGAAACAACAGCATAGATCCCAAAAATCAAAGTAGCAACAGGCTAGGATTTCAGGCATGGATCATTCACATCTATAGGTAACTGAAGTAAGTTGAAGTGCTGCACCGACATCCTGAAAATACCTCACCGACTACAAAACTATTCCCTCCGGAAAAGCTCACCTGATCCCTTTGTTATTAAAAGGATGCCCAAGAAGAGGTGGACTCAGACATTGAACATCTGAGTACTAAGAAACTACACTATCAGAAATGCTGGGGTGGGGCCTAGTTTTCTGCCCCTCCTCTTAAACCTTTCTACTGCAATGGAAGTCTCAAAATAAACTCTGATTGTTTCATGCACATTTTTACTTTACAATCAACAGCATTCAAACTTGTTAGGGTTTTGTCACTCTTCCATTAAGTTCAGCTTATCACCCATCTAAAAGCTAAGCCACCAAAATGCTTCAACAAGAACAAATGTTTATGAAAATTACTGCACTACATTTTTGCTTACATTTTCTGCAGGAACACCAGAGAGTTTGGAGAGCGATTCACACAGATCCGAGATGGCCCCCATCATTGGCACCACAACCCGGTACTAGAACAAAGATAACATCATACTTACACCAGGCAAAATAAACCCATGCAAGAGAGAGTGCAAGAAAATGGAAACAAAGCCTTGAATTCATAGGAGTTCTGCTGAAGTTAAGTTCATAGCCACATACTTTAAGGTCTTTTGTATCTCAGCTCTACCTTACAAAGCAGGGATTTGGAGGGAATGAGCAAGCCTTGAACAGCTGGGTTTTTTTACTTTAGCCAGGTTCAGCAGTAGTAAAACACACACACCCCCGCCCCCCCCTCCAAACAAACGAACCTTCCTGAGCATATCAGACCACTTAAACCTGCATTTGATGGTCAATGTCATCAATACCAGCTGCAGTTTCTTTCTTTTAAGAGTTCTGTTCTGGACATACCTTCAGACAAACAAATCCCCAAAGCTCTCCCTGAACAGGACACACCAGGCATATTATACTGCACAGGGGCTGGCTGGGAGGGAGTGACTTTCCTTACAGCACTGTAAGGTGTCGCATTTTGGACCTGTGGCTAAAACAGTGTTGCTATCACACTGATGTTTTAGCTGTTTGCTGAGCAGTGCTTGTGCAGCATCAAGACTTTCTCTTCATCACTACTCTGCCCCCTCAGCAGATAGGTTGGGAGTGGGCAAGAAGATGGTAGTTCAGCTGTCCTGAACTGCCCAAAGAGCTATTCCATACTACATAATGTGATGCTTGGCCACAAAAATTGTGGTAGAGAAAGAAAAGGTGTTTTTGGCTTCCAGGGTTATCGTTCAGAGATTGGCTGTGCTCTGGTCTCCTCATGGGAAGTGGCAAGTGATGTCCTTTGCACCATTTGTGTCTGTCCCCACCACCCAACTTTTCCTTCATCTATTAAACCATCCTTATCTCAATTCATGGGTTTTCTTGCTTTTGTTCCTTCTATTCTCTCCCCATTCCCACCAGGCAGGGGGAAAGTGAGCAAGAGGTTGTGCGGGTGCTTAGCTGGTGGTCTGGGTCAATGCACCACTTTACATTAAGCTACAAAAAGTATCAGGAGTACAATCAAACCTTTCAGTCTCTAAAGCAGAAGTATCTTGTAAATCAGTGTGAATGCTCTACCTCAGATGTTTAACATCTGATAACGCACTGATTCCACTTTCAGTGCTCTGAACACTTCCCTGAAGACAGATCTGTGAGTTTTTAACATGGCTAAGCAGTGTTCTGCAAGCAGGAATGTGCATGGATGCAAGAATACAGTACACCAGAACACCAGCATCTACAATTTGGTTTAACCAAGCATCCTTCCTCCATCAATAAATCAGTACCATATGTTTTAAAGAATAATTCAAAGGCACAGTGGTAGTTATCGATAGGCACACATTCATTAAAAACTAGGTGGAATGTACCTGCCTTGACTAAAAAGAGTTACATACCAATATTCACTGGGATCTTCTCAGTTACACTATCAATCTGTACATTCCACTGTGGCCATCGGAGGCTTTTGGTTCCCTTTCTTTTAGCACAATCCACATGGCAGAAACACAATTTCTCCTTGTGTCACACACCAGAGGGGAGTAGTAGTGCACAACTCTAGCTTCTCAATGGAGAGACCACAAAATGCAAAGAATTGCTCACAAGGAGACTGGAGGTGAGATGTAGAACATGCACATGGCCAATTCATCTAAAAGAGCTCCAAGTAGTGGAAGTTCTGTTAATCTTGATTTTTCAAAGTAGAATTTATCCTTTATCCTTTCAGTCCCTATGCTACTGGTAATCTTACTTTTTTTCCCCCTCAATGAATCGCTTCTCTGTTCTTACCCTTTATAAAATTTTGGTGACAAGTGCAGCTGTCTTTGATTTCACAAAAAGCAACACAAAAATTTACTGTCAATTGAGCATACATCTCCACTGTACCTACCACCTCCCTCTAACTAACAGTGCATATATAAAGCACAAGTTTTACCACCTGCAGTTATAATCCACAGCACACGCAAATGCTGCCAATGAGTGCCTCCAAAACTGTTTTGCTTTCTCCTTTGGTAAATGCCCATCTGCCATCAGGGCATCTAGTCACCCTGCCTGGGCCTCCCAAACCTTATGTTTTCACATGTCTGGCAAGCACACAGTTACTTTAGGTATGTGTGTGCCCACCCACAGACTCATTTGGAAAAAAGAAAAAAAAAAAAAAAAAAAAGGAAAATAAAGAAATCAGTCTACCTTGGAATTGAGCAAGCTTTAAAAGCAGAAGTTTTTCCTCTTTTTTTTTTTTCTGAGAGGGACTGTTTTTCATTTCTGTTTGACATTCAGAGGCCTCACCCATTTTGGCAAGTTTCACTTTTACATTTTCAAAGGTAACATAAGGCAAACATGCCAACACAAACACATTTCTGCTTTCAGGGAGAAATACATCACATACAGCTAATTTCATCACATGAACAGGTAAGTCACTTCTAGCTGACCCATGACCCTAGTCTCACAGACTGAGGTTTTACAAAACCACTTGATTTGACAAGTTCAATTCCCACTTTTTACATTAAAACTCATCCTACCTCACTCAAAAGTGGATATCCATGTCCTTTAAATTACTTTAAAAAATCTCAACTTTAAAACCTAAGCAAGAAAACTCAGATGACTTAAAGAAATTTGTGGCTTCAATATGCCTCACCTGGACAGGTCTATGCTGTGGGTCTGCATATACCAGGGTAACTTCCATGAGACGGTCTCTCCTCAAGGGCAGTGGAAGCGTTAAGTAACAGAAGGGATCAAATGTCACAGAAACTTTGGAGCATTTGGGACAAACAAGGGTAGATTTGAAAAGACCATGAAAAATATCCACAATTATAGAATCATTCCTCAGCCTATGATTCTCCCAGGCTTCTTTTGCCACCTCCTATAAAAAGAAAAAAAGAAGGAAAAAAAAAAAAAAAGACTAAAAGTTGTTTCTTACAAACATTTCTATAGCATTGCAAGCATAGGAATCAAAGAAAATGCAGAAAATTGATACTGAGGGGTAAGTTTCATAGAAAGGGGGGGTCTACCAGTATGTCCAGCATAACACACTCAAATTTTTTTCTCAGTGAAACTAAGGCCTTGTTCCAATTCAAACATAATACATCTAGTTTAGTTGAGTCACTTGGTCAGGTATTCCTTGGTGCACACAATGCCAGAAGCATGAATGGAACTGAGGGGACACTGACAGGGTTACACGCTGCTCTTCAGGACAGAAAACTGCTAATAAGATACACTCCACGTTCCTCCATGAGGAATGGACTGCTGCCCTCTGCTTTTGAAAGACAACTGCAGTTACAGCTTCTGAGAAAAAAAGTACAGAGTTTCTTCTTCTTGAAAAATGATGGTCCATGTCTCAGAAAAAAAAAAAAAATTGTATAAAAGGAGACAAATTACAATCCCTTGAAGATTTTCACAATACAATTTATAATCTCACCTAAGAGCATCTAATCACTGGCATTTGTCCATGCAATCAGAGGCTCTTCTTAGCATGATACTTTAGTTTATGGTACAATACCGTATATTTTTTATTATACATATCTCAAGTGAAATAAGTGCCACAGATAGACACACACACTGCAATGCTACTGTCACTAACCAGTATGCTGAGGTGGGAACAGAGTGATAAGCTCCAACAACTGCAGTGATATGAATGCCAGGCAGAAACACATGCACACCTCCTGTATCTGGGGGAGGGAAGTACCTAAATAAAATGAAGGTATGCTAGGCATCCTTCCCATCCCACAGTTATCAGTATTGTTTGGAGAGGAAAAAAAAAAAAGATTAAATATACTACTTTTTGTGGTGTTGCCACATGCACTGTATTATGCAATAAAAGGCAAAAGACATAAAATTACTGCCAGTTAAGAGAAAAAAGACAACCAGTCACATACGTTTCCTAAAAATAGTTAATGCACCTGGCTTTTAGAGGCTCCTAAAGCATTTTTCCACCTATTATATATTATGCTGGATCCTGCATTTGTCAGTATGTTGCAGCAGTTTGTACTGTGACAAGAGGTAAAAGCCTGATCAGGAGAGTGTGAGCTCTCTTAGGCAAATGCATTTCACTATTATGTGTCACATTTTAACGTGAGCATGGTGTTTGCCAACTTCAGAGGAACAAAGAAGTGTCTGTAAGGGGCTCACATATCAGTGTTGACTGGAAAACAGAGGATTGAGAAAAAGCAGGAAAAAAATTAACAGAAGATACTTTTCAGGCCTTTGTCAGGAAAACAGCATGAGAGAATTACTTTATTCAGACAGACTGGAGCTCAAGGGTGTTTAAATTCAAATTTAGATTAAGTAAAATATAAAGTTGCTTTGATATCAGTGTACCCATTTCCATGGCACCAGAAAGGAGAAAAATCAAGTTAAGCCTCTTAAGGAGATGTAGGTAGTTGACCAAACACTAGGAATTCATCAAGATCCATGGTTGTACCAAGTCACCTATACCTTGGTTCTCTCCTCGTCTTCACCATGCACCCTACTCAGCCTGGTTTTAAATCTAGCTCACAGATGACATTTGTCTAGAGACCATGAGGGAACACACATGACAAGTCTGGCCTAAAAGCTCATTTCATTTGACATTCTGCTGTCTCCCAGTGGGACACCAGAATGTTTCCTTAAAATCTCATGGCCAGGGCATATGTCCAGACCTTATCTGAGGGACACCCTTGGAACCTCCACGTGAGAATGCTCCCAGTCTCATTTAAGTCCACATGCAAATATGATAGCCTGTACAGTAAGCACTCTCCTCAAACCAAAGCTAAAAGCTGCTGCTCAATCTATCTGGAGGAAGAAGGTGAGCCTGAGTAGTCAGGAGGAAAGGTTATGGTAGCAGTTACAGCCTACTTTTAGGCAGCTGTTATGTCACAAGATCAACTTCCTCCCTCTCCACTGCAGAACCGCATCAGTATTGTATCTAAAGCACACCCTTCTGCATGCCAGTACAAGAACAGACATCGCTGTAAGGCAAAGCAACAGCAACGTGCTACAAAGTGCCATGAAGTCAGCCAGGCCATAAAGCACAAAGTGTTCTCCCCTCCCAGGTACACTGCTTTGCAGGGAGGGTGTTTGTGTGGCCTGTAAGCACAAAGGCCAGGAAGCATCACAAAACCCAGTTAAAACTCCCTCAGAAGCACTACCTGCCCTACCCTCAAGTAAAGGGCACCATACCGAGTCAGGTCTGCCATTGGCATCCTTCAGCTCCAAGTAGGGCTTCTTCTTCACTCTGTTCAAATCCTCATGCAAGCCATCTAAAAGAAAAGCCAAGAGCTCCTGCGAGTCTTGCTGCTGGTATCCTGAAAACTGAGGAGCAAATCGGCCAACCTGTGTCTGAACACAAAAGCAAGAGTCAGAGGAAGATGAACATTACCTATGTGTAAAAGACAGGAACAAAACCACTCAAGTAGTGGCTTTTGCAGAGATCAACTCCATGTTAGCAGTAGACCACAGTGAACTGGATGCTAACGCAGTAAGGGTGTCAGAATAATTTTCCCCAATTATCTTTATTTTTTTCCCCCTAGCATTGAGAGGGAAGAATGCATTTAGTGATGTGATGCTAGAAATCTAAGTTCTCAATTATTAATTTAGGAACCTGTAAACAACCAATACAGAAAATCTATCTGCCTGATACATTTTGTACTTCAATTTCTCTTTCAGAAATCTTCAGTTCCCACAGTGCAGACTTGCTATAAAGGTAGCATCTTGAAGCAGGTGGACTACAAGACCGAAAAGATTTGCAGAAGATACTTATGAACTAACAAAACAGACTTGAAACTGACTGAAATCCTTGCCACAGTAATCTCTAGCTATTCTAAACTTTGTGATATTAAGCTAAGAAACATAACAGCCTGAGTTAGAGAGAGCCAAAACCAGCACATCCATATACAGCCCCTTATTTCATAAGCACTATCGCACAACACTGCCATTGAGTGTTCTTGCTACTAAAAAAAGATAAAATAATAGAAAGGGGTCTTACAGGAAAACTAACAAATAGCTGAAGGAGTGGTCAGTCCTAGTGACCATCACTAGTTCTCATAAACACCAAGAATCCAACAGACTTGCAGAATTATGCTTAGCACATTTTAGCTACTTAAGATGACAACTGCAAGGGAGCCCAAACTGAAGGGTTGTTTGTATTACAGATAGTGAACACTGTCACTAAATCAGCAACAATTTAGAAATATCACAAGTGATACTGTATTAGGAAATAAAGAGTAATTCCTGCTCCAGTCTTAAACAAGAGCAGCCCACATTAAGACACTTTTATTGATGTTCACCACAGATTCATGTATCTCCTCTACACAGAAGTTTACAGAACAACTGTGAACAGAGGTGGATGATGTGCCAGCAACTCCAACACACAGAAATTAAACATCTTGTTTCAGAACTACCGGTACAGAGGACAGATTTCTGTAGTCCATAAGACTTTTGTTTCAGGTCTCAAAATCAAATACCCTCAACTTCAAGACTGTACCATGTAAAATAAACAGCAACAAAATCCACATTTACATTAGTATCAGGTAGTTGCTTATTTCACGCATTTGGAATTATGTTCTTCCTCAGCGTACTGACACTGCACTACAGAAGCAAACTCTTAGTGTTCCTTGGATGTTTTAATTACCTTGGTTCTGCAGCAGAGCATCTTTCCATGATAATTAAAATAAAAGACATAGTTACAATTTTTCTAGGGGTTCATATACAACTGCTACACTACAGTATTTCAGCTAAAAGCAGGTCTTCACACTGAAGCACCAAGAACATTACCTCAACAAATAACGTTATAGACAAGGGGATGCATTTTGCTCTCCAGTTTGTAATTTCATTTTTATAATTTATAATCTCCAGTTTGTAATTTCATTTTTATAATTTATAACTTGCACACCTTTTCTCACTGATTATAGTTCACAGCTGGCAAATCGCATGACCTAATTTTGTACAGCAAAGGCCATTTTGATGCATCTGTAAATAGCTCTCAGGCTGCAAAGTCATTTATTAAGTAAGGCATTTAACGTTGAAGAGCAGTAACCAATTCTGGGGTATGACACTACTCACTGGCAAGTTCCTTCCTGTATCCTGAAAAGCATTTACATAAAATGTGAAACAACACTGAAGCAAGTCTGTCATTCCTGCTTTCACAACACCAAAATAAGTGGAAGGCATATTAGCTTTCACTGTTTTTTCTGTCAAAGAGCTACACCACAAGAACATGGAGTACTTACTTTAAACATACGTGGGGCCACGTGAGACTGTCTCCCAGACCAAATCTGTTTAATGAGCTCTGCATAGGCTTCTGCAATTTCTCCTCTCATCCCTAGTGGATTGTTCTGATTTATTTCAGCTTCATATTTATCTTCCAGGAAATAGTCAGTCAGAGGAGGAGTATTGCTCAGACACTGAAAAAGCATTAAAATAAATTAATTTATTGCACAGAAAAATAAATCTGTTCAAAAATTAAATAACCCAGCTTTCACATCAGAACATGTACTAAGCTATTAACAAAACTGGTGAGACTGAATTTGAGTACATATTTAGTACCAAAAAAAAAATAAAATAAATCTATTGGGAGGGTAGAACATTAACCATTTCAATTCAAGAGCATTGTTGATATAAACACCACCACCAACTTAAGCACTCAAAAGACTAACACCTTATTTCTGAAACATAGTTTCTCTTTGCAGATGCTACACTGACTTCTATGCAATGAATTTGCTTTGTAAGCCCCCTCTCTGAAGCAGTTTCTACTGGTGTATCTAGCTTAAGGCATAAGGCTCATTGGTCTGCAGCTCCTTGGTTCTCCTTCAGAAATTTCTTTAAAACTGACATCACACTGGTCACCTTCCATTCCTTTGGTGCAGAATAATTTTAAGTATTCATTTAAAGTTACTGTAGTTAATAGTTCAGCAAAGCAAAGAGCAAGCAACCTTCTAAAAATAAAAAAAAAAAAAAAACCCAAACCAAACAACCACACACAGACTTTTGGAAGGAAGATATCTGTTCTTGGTATTATGTCCTTCCACATTTTGTTAATTTGTTCTGTAACTTCCACTGACACTTCAAATTGAGTAGAGTCTCTTGGTGTAATGCTGAAGTCTGACACAAAACCAAGCCTGCAAGTGCCAGAAAAGTAAAGTTTACAACCACAGTCCTACCAATACTCACCAAATCCTATAATTAATGTATGTTGACCTGTTTTTCCACACGTTACTGAGGTGGCTGGGTAGGCTACCTTACTGGTGTATTACATAGAAATCTGCACAGAACAGGTCAGGAAGGTCTTTAGAGATGTCACCTTAATGTTCTCAAGCCTACATCCCATATCTACTCTATAACTTTGATATCCTAATATAAGCAACATAGAGAGTAAGAGGTCCTTGTTCATCCTTGAGGTGAAACACAAGCTATACTTTGTCCTGCAAAGAACCACATGCCATTAAAAAAATCCCCATCAAAAATCTAGCAAATAAGTATAGTAATAATTATTAGCTTTGCATAACCTGTAGTGGTTATGCAAACTTACCACCCAATACAATCACTCTGAACCCTTCCTATAGCTTTTCACGCTCTTAATTTTTCAAGAGTTTAAATTTAAACACAGACCCCAGAACTGTGTGCCTGGTCACGCGGCTTACGCTGCACACACAACATCCTCCATATCAGCCCATTTTTGTCTGAGCACAGCATTAGAACCTTACATTAGTTAGGCACCTGTTTAGTATGACTTCCCCCACAGCCTTTTCAGAAGCCACATATTTCAGATCCAGTCCTTCATACTGTACTATGTTGTATAGCACTAAAATGCTACGCATAAGCCAAAGTAAACATGAACTGATTTTTTTGTTGGTTGGGGCTTGGTTTGTGAGGCTTTTTTTCATTCCAAGTGTAGTATCCTCATTGAATCACATTAAAACATGCTTTTCTTTCCACAGATTTTAATCCACAATCTCTGCAAGACTGCTCTTTTATTTATTTCTTACCTGTAATGCAGAATTCATGAAGCAGGTATTTCCAAGGTTACTGAGTCCACAGAGTCCAGGCTGCGACAGAGAAGCACTGTCCCTGCAGCTGTAGGAGTTACAGACAAATCCAGAACCTCTGAAAGAAAGACAACACAGTAAACTCCACGATGAGTTTATCGATTCTCAATGCTGTTTAAGAGTCACATCAAATACACGTAAAAAACCTGTTTAATTCAATTGTTTAACCAGCCTTCACGTTTCTGTTGCTTCACAGTGGCTAATATTGAATACCAGGAACGTGCAGTATATGTGCTACCTCTGGAAACATTAATGGTTACACAGTCTATTATTAATTTATGGCTCATAACACATTACTTTTCTCTGTCTACAAGTACACAGCACACTATCCTAGTGCAGCGAGAGTCTATATGACATCTTGTAAGAGCTAATAAAAAAATTATGATCTCTACCTGGAAAGTCTTCTACCCACTGGCAGATGGAGAAAATATAATCCCTTCCCTCATATCCCCAGTCACATCAAAATCAGGCAGTGCCCTAGTAGTTAGTAAGCTCTGGAACGTGCGCTACCTTTGCAAGTGAGCAAGGAACAGCAGAATGTAGTAGTTTCAAAAGCAAAGTTTGATAAACAGGTACACAAGAGTAGCAGAACTCCTCATAGGGCACCATCACACTCCTTTTCTATACAGGCAAGGATGCACAGAAGTATTCATTCACATGAGGGATGAAGAAACATAAAGAACATTCCTGCTCTTACCCCCTGCCCAGGTGGGAGTTGTTCAGTCCATAGGAGTTACTGCTATCACCGTTAGTAATAACAGAAGTGGCAGACACTGAGGAATAAGAACTTGCTGATGATTTTGAAGAGGTAGTAAAGTTTCTGCTAGTTGCAGTGCTTGATCTGGGAGAAAGGAAAAAGAAGTAGAAACAGTGCTACTACTTTTTTACCCCCAGCCCCACCTCCCACAAAACTCCAAGGACTTGACACATTACAGTTAGTTCCCTCACACAGAATTTACTGCTTGGATCTGTATGATCACACTTCCAAATACTTGTCTGGAAGAGAAACTTCAGACAGAAGCATCAGAAGCAGGAGTAAAAATTTTTGCTTAAAGTAAAATCTGGGTCCCAGACTGAAACAAGTAGGCAATTTGGATGGCATGAGTGGCAAAGGAGCAAGCTTTAAGTTTATGAGTAAACCACCTTAAAACAAGCAAGCAAAAAAAAATCCCAATCTTAAAACCACAAAGTATTTGCCTTTCACTAAAAAGTGACAGTCGGTCCTTCCCTACCTGAAACCCAGACCACCCACTCAAACAGAATGTTAATTAGTATGAAGATAAGCAGGGTGGGCACAAAATAGTTTGTTACTGAGCCTAGCTGATACAACTACGTTGTTGGACAACTACAACTTGGAGGCAAGACACACAGATATGTACATGTCGCATGCACAGCAATCCTTAGCATTTTGAGACTGGAGATACTGAGATGGATTTTAAAAGTTCATAAGCCTGAAGTTTATCTGATTGTAAATCCCAGGTTATTCCACACTACTACTCTTCGGGTCTGGAAAAGAACTGGAACAGTGTTACAAAAGACCAACACGGCACTAAAATTCAACAGTGTTCTGTTCAACAGCCAGGTTTGGCACCACAAAAAAGCAAAACCACAAAGCAGTACTACATAAATAAGCTTAAAGAAAAGATATTGATGCTAATTAATTTCTCTATAGCAAGAGCTAACTGGGAAATGGTCTATTCTCTCCATCTTTGCCTGAATAACTGCAAAACTGAATGCAAAAAAGGTGCAGGACACCAACAGCCAAACACAGTGGCTAATACACCCAAAGCACAGCAGAGGACAGTGCCCTCAAGCTTTAGCTTGTTCTTGTATCTCTTTTAATGTGGCCCTGATTCTCAAATGCTACAATCTAAAAATGCATATTCATAGTTCAGATGCTACAGAAAAGAGTCTTGGAAAACCTCTCAGGACAAAAAATATAAAACAAAGAACAAGCCATAATGGCCAAGAGGAAGCAGAACAGCTGGGCAGCCTTACTAGTCTGGAAATGTAATAGCAGTAAAACCAATACATAAGGAAACAAGTTATGACAGGAGCTTCCAGATGAAAATGCAAACCCCAAATGCAGTGTAAACCTGAAGCATAACAAAAACCAAAACCCACCAGCCAATACAATAAAAAAGTATACTGGAAAGTATACTAGAAAGATGAGCAGATCTATCAAAATAACTAAGACAACCATTTCTAGGACAATACATGAACTTTTGGTCATTACATGTTGGAAGTGGAACTTCTCACAACTACTTGGACACAGAGATAAGACAGATGAACAAAAAAGAGGGTCCAGACTAAATAATTATCAGACTCATGCTCCACATGCAGGAGTTTCAAGGATTAAGAATGAAATAATTAAACTAACAATAGCCTATAAATCCATTAAGAACATATTTTTTTAAATCCAAATAAGTGAATTACCTAGAAGTAAAGAAGGGCAATCTACAAAATGCTAGACTTGCAAAAGTTACCATTTCTGCTTCACATTTCTGACCTCAGTGAGAGAACAGAACAAGACACTCAGAACATAATACAAAGAAAATCTAACAGGGAGAAAAGGAAGGATGTCCTCTTAAGGGATTTCAAAATTTCCAATAGAAGCATAGTTCATTATCAGAGCCAGATGGCAACTGAAGAGTTCCAAGAAGTACGTCAATATTATCCTATGCACAAAAAAAAAAAAAAAGCTAAGAACTAAGGGGGAAGAGAAAAAATGCATCAGAAAGAAAAGATAAGAGACAAGTCAGAGAGTGCACAAAGGTCTACCTACAAAGTCATCAAGGATCTTGAGTGAATTCCTGTTAGAAAAAATGAGAAGGATCATTTAAGAAGTAAAACAATGAAAGAGAGGCCAACAGCTTTCCAAGTGTGGACAAAAAAACCCCAGAAATCAAATACACTTGGGAAGATAAAAATTCTAAGTACTCTTACATTTTACAGGTTACTCATCTACCTGTAATTACTGAAGAAAGCCTGAGGATTTACTAAGGACAGCTGCTGCTCCTTATTTCACAAGATGGTCACAAAGGTAGCAATGATTCCAGGTAAAAGGCCCAGATAGAAGCTAAGAAAAATGTTTTTCTCCAAAAGCTTCTCATTTTAAGCCCAGGAAACTATTGTTAATGACTTCACAATACTGTAGGCTCCTGAGGAGACTGCCTCATTTGCACACAGAGCTGGCAATACAAGTCCTGGATGTCAAGCACTAATCCCCAGTGCCCCAAGAAAGGTTTCTGTGGACTTTCACTGGTCAAAGCCACCTGCCCCCTCCACTGCTGTCTCAGTGACTTGTATGTGACTTCAGCTCCCTTGGAAATGGAGGCCCCATCACCTTGCTCTGAAGTAAGAGATAAACATGATTCCTTCTCTGAAGTTCATGACTTAAAACCTTCCAAAATGTTCTGGGCCACTCAGTGAGTTACACTGAAACTACTCTCAGTTTGCTCTTTGTAGGCACAACAGACACTGGACTAACTGGAAGGTGCCAAGCTCCTGCATCTTCCCTTTGATCACCACTGCCAAGTTTCTGACAGGGATAAACACATTCAGTTAAAGTTCATCAACAAAATCTATACAAGAGTAAACTACATCAAAGACAGACTTTATCTAACCATGCAACAGTCCAGGTATTTGAGAAAACAATTTTACAGGTTTGAGGATGAGACTGTGTGGTATAACTGCTGAATCAGTCCTCCTGCTCAAGCACAGTTTGAGTCTCTCAAGATAACTCCTGTCTGAGCTAAAATACCTCTTCTAGAAAAAAACCTACCATCATGGTTTCACGGTGGCCAGCAACAGCCAATCCAGCAGACCACAGATAAACCATTCCAAGGACCCTTACAGTCAGAAGAAACTTATATTTCATTTGCAGCATATCTGGCTTCATCACCTGGACATTCGTTCATGCTCACCTTTATCTGCTGCCTGTGGAGTTCCTTCTTCAATTTCCATTTCTCATGTCCCACAGAAGCTTTTAAGTGCTAAGATCAACTTTTAAATTTCTCACCAATACAATAGTTTAACTTCTAAGTCTTCTAGCACAAAAATTACTTGCTAATTCTTCAGGAATTCACTTGGCTCCTTCTAAAACCTCTCAGTAGCCTACTTTTCAAATCTGTTGACAACCTCACAGGACATGATCATTCCATATGCAGTTTTATCAGTGTGCCAGTTACCAAAAAAGTCCTCCGATGCACACTCAGAATTACCCTACTGAATCACCGAGGTTATTTGTTTGTCTGTTTGCTTGCTTTTACCTCAAGGCTGCAACAGGAGCTCACATTCATTGGACTCAACAAGGACTGGAATCACACTCCAGAGTCCACCATGTATTTCAGGCTCATGTTCTTCATTCCCACATACCCAACTTCATGCCTCACAATACTGATGCACATTGACCCCCATGTGGCACATAAAGACAGCCGTACAATGTGTGTGTCTTGCCACACAACATTGCAAAAACCCACACAAATGGCAAGTGAGGAGAAATCTGGAGACTGGCAGCATAAAGCAAAGTTAGATTAATCTAGTACAGAAACTGTGACACCATATGGTTGATAAGTAAAAAAACTGCTAAGCTGAACAGCTTGAAAAAAAAATACTGGAAAAGGCTTTCAAGTTGTTGAAAGACAGAGATAGGAAAAGTATCTCAATTCAGCTATGTGCCTTCAGAGCATACAGTAGAATAAGTTCTCCTTTAAACTACCAATATAAGAAAAAATTTTAAATATTGTGACAAAAGGGTTTTGTCAAAGCAGGAAAAGCTAGAACTTCCGCCTTATCTTACATACTTAAAGCTGCTCTTGAAAGCATGGCATCTGCTGCACACTCAAGCACTTGAAAGTCATGTAATAAAGAACGTCCAACAAGTATACAGTGCCATGAGTAAACAGAGGAGCAGGAAGAGGAAACAGCAAGAGAACTCTAGCAGCAACCAAAGAATCAAAAACTATTTTCCTGCTGCACACTCCAAAGGGAGGCAGACAGCTACCAGGCACATGCTAAATGTAACTTCACTCATGTTTTTAAATGCAATACCTGATGAAAAAGGTACTGTTTTTATATATGTGACACAATTGCTTGTTAGTTTGCAAAGGAAATGATACCCAGGATAAAAGTATGCTAGAAGTGAGCTGAAATTCTGCTAGATCAGGATTCTATTTTGGGAACATTCTAAGTAACAATTAAAAGATGACTAAATTCTACAGATTCATTGATATAATATCCCTTCAAACAAAATATGTTTCCAGTTCTGAAATTCCTAGAATAAGCATAATCCATTTCTTCTTCTGACACCTTGTACAGTAGTAAAAGCAGTTTCAAACTACAACAAGAAAGTAATTTGTTCCTTACGGAGCAGCAAACCAGCAAACAGCAGTGACCAGGAACACTCAAAATATACCACCCAAGAACTGCTGTGGGTTTTAACTGAATTTTTTCTGTATAGTATCAGCAAGCTTGAAAGCTAGGGAAAGGTGTGGAATACAAAGCAGTATCCCCTGGTATGAGGCAGCGTCTCTGACAAGCAGCAAACAGCGGGGAAAAATCCTCACAACAGGGAACCCACCCACCCCACAGGCACCTTGCACACACACACACGTTCTGCAAATAGCGAATGACATGAACTCCAGCTTCCTGGGGCCTCTTCTGGCACACAGGCAGCAACGCAGATGCTCACTATTCCCCACCAACAGCAGAGCTCTACATCCCATTTCTGTGCACCATCAAAACCCTACATAAGGAAAATCTTTCATACATGAGCTTGTAGGACTACAGTGATAAGGCCCAAAGAAAGATCTCCAAATACGAAGTTCCCCACGGTCTTCA